CGCTGGCAAGGAAATTGTCATACCTACTTGGCTAATGGCTCCCAGCAGTAGGGGATCTTCATGCAATCAATGAGGGATGTTCGTGCAATCTCAGATCCCATTTGGGAGACTAGAAAGACAAGAAAATGAGGAAGCTGGATGACATGGATGGGGGTTGGTGGACAGTGGCTGAAGACGGGCTGAGTGGAGGCAAGCGGGTTATCACAGTCCCATCACTGAATGTGTTGTCCTGCCTCTGTGGGCGGCCAGGAGGCCTTTCTGAAAGATTTATGTTCTGGAGGATCATAAAGAATCCTAGCAGGTTGTAAAGACAGAATCAGGAGTGGAGCTCTGGTTTAGCTTCCACCCAAAGTCCGTGAGCCCTGTGGGAAAGCCCAATAAAGTGGAGCCCTTTTCCCAGTCCAGGGGCAAGATGGCAGCCAAGATGACTCATGAGTGGCTTTCATCTGGTGCTCAGGGCTTCTGCCTGCCAATCTACCTTCTTTTAGCTTTTATCTAAAGAAACTTCCTTTAATGTGAAAGGGAAAAATTTAAGGTTTGGGACCCAACAGAACTGATAAGGCTGACCAAAGAAGAGATCCCTTTTATCCATTGACCATGCTCTCATCTCATCCCTTGAAGGCCTTAAATTCTCGGAAGGCATTGCAAGTGTTACAAGAGCTCAGGGTAAGAATTTAAGGCAGGAGTGACCTCCATGCCAAACGCTGTGCAATTCTGGATAGTTCACCGAGTCCCATAAGACTTAAACTTCCTTATCCAAAAAAGGAAGAATCTTCTACAGGGGCATTTTGAATTTTTAAAGCCTGGAGTATTTCTGCAAGACATGCAGTTCTCTCTGATGCTCCCAGTGCTGCCCTGGCCAAGAATACTATCCTGTTTCCCAGGGCCTATCATCACAAAGCATTCAGGGCCTCTCTCTTGTCTTAATTTCTCTACTCCTTGCTTCCAACTGCAGTCAGAGGATCTTTCTTCCTTGAAGATCTGATAATATCACCTCCCTGTGAAAAACACTTGAAAAGCTTGTGATTACCCTAGGGAGATAATCCAAGCTCCATAGGAAAGGCAGAAGAACACAACAGACACTAGTATGGCAATATGTAAATCAATGGATGTGTAACTGATGTGATTCTGCAATCTGTATATGGGGTAAAAATGGGAACTCATAACCCACTTGAATCAAAGTGTGAAATATGATATATCAAGAACTATGTAATGTTTTGAACAGCCAACAATAAAAAATTAAAAATAATAAAAAATAAAAAAAATAAAAACAACAACAACAAAAAAAAAAAATAAAATAAAGGGCATTCAGGATCTGGCCCCTACTGACCTCTGCCTTCTTATCTCTTACCACTCCTGCTGTCAGGCACTTTGCTGCAACTGTTCGGAAATTCTTCAGTTCCCTCAAACACAATGCTTACCAAAGGGTAGAAGGAGAAGGAGTTCTTCTGGCTTAGGCCAAAGGATCATAGGTGGTACTCAAGTTGATCACAGATGACATTAAATAACAATGAATCACGTTTGAAAAAGTGGTTGGATTACCTTCTTCTGTCTCTGCCTCTCTTTTCAGAAGAAGAATAGTTCTGGAACTGTGTTTTTAACATTTCTCTTGTTGATCTCCCTTTTATAGGGGAAAATCTCATGCTCTGATGGGATTGAACAACATTTTTGTTTTGTTCAGTTTTTGTTGTTCTACTCTATTGACTGTTTAATTAGTCGTTGATTTTCTATTAAGGGCAGATAGTGCTATTTTCCCATTACAAGATGATTTGAATATATCCCAATACATTTTCAGTAAGAAGTGAATCTTGCTGCCCCTTTTCCATCTGTAAAGATGACATGCCTATACTGATCATCACCTTTATTTATTTGATAAAGTTCATTGTAAGTCTATGAGAAAAGGGTCCAGCAACACCAATCAGAAACAGGAAGTGTCTGCCCCTCTCCTCAGGCTCCTAAACCCATACCTGGGCCCCAGCTCATCCTCACTCCTCCAGACGAAGTCACCAAACTTTTCATAGTGGGAGTTGTAGTGGTGCTGAACTCGGAACAGCATGGAGGCCGAGACCTCCATCAGCGTGTTGTAGGCCGTCTGCTGCTCCTTTCCGCTCGTGTACCCATTGTACAGATTGTAGATCTTGTCGGCTATCTCTGAGAGGAAAGAAGTACAGAAACAGATCACTGCACAGTGGGGAAAAGTGAGGGCAGAGGCATGGCTCATAACAAGGAGGTCCCAGTTGTGCAGGACTTCACTTGCATGGTCTCTGTGGACACAGACAAATCTTAAATCTGCCCTTTGTATGTCAATGACCAGTTGCATTTGATTTCCTACCTAGTAACCAAAGATAATAATGGCTACTCTGGAGGTGCACTGGAAGAGCTAAGTCAAAACTGAATGTGGGGCTTGCTGTACTTCACTGGTAGAGTGCTTGCCTAGTATGTATAAGGCCCTGGAGAAATAAAACAAAGTGAATGTAAAACATTCAATACTCAAATATAAATTATTGATATGATTATTGTGCTCATGATTTAACAGAAAATTCCAAACAAATGCAGAGGTTTCAATAAATTGACTTGGTTCAACTCAGCATCCTCATTCTACCTTCCCTCTGTAATATTTCCAACACATTTCTGTAATCAGGTCTGATAGGCCCCTGTTCCAAAACCTTTTAAAGACAATTCTGACTCTTCTGCTTGCCAAGCAGGGACGTTCCCACTCCTGCGTCATTTCTACTAGCCAGTGCAGTGTGAATTTGTCATGAGTAGAAGGAACAGTTCTTTAGCTTTGAAGGCTCTGATCAAAATGTTGATGGGTTCCCAAACCATTACTAACAATATTTACCTGTAGGAGAATCTAGAAGACCTTAGGACCAGGAAAAAAGATTCACTTTACATTATTTTTCCCTCTAATTTTTATTCTTGTTTTATAATATTGTGTATATGTTATTTTAAAGTAATTATAAAAATGTTATTTTAAAATAACAATGATTAAAATAAGAAAATATCCCAAATCTCCTTGCTCTTGAGGTCAATTTACTCTTGTCTGATAACACATGAAATACTAATTATCAAGTTTCTTATTAAGTCATGTCTGTCTCTCCATCCAGAATGTAAACTCCAAAAAGGTAGAAATCATGTCTTCACAGCATTACTCACACCAGGGTTTTCGGGAAATATTTGCTCAACTTAAAGTGGGTGACCAGGACCCATGAGTTCCTATTAGTTATTTTTAATTTGCCAGTCTAGATGTAGAAACTGTATCAAAACATTTATATAGTGGATTTGATTGATGGGTTATATTTTTTAGGTCTTTTTTGTCAAACGACCAGGAGCAGCAAAAAAGTTTAATCTTGGGCTGGGGTTGTGGCTCAGCGGTACAGCACTCACTAGCATGTGCAAGGCGCTGGGTTTGATCCTCAGCACCACATAAAAATGAATAAATAAAATAAAGATTAATTTAAAAAAAGATGCAGTCATTGCCTTTTAAAAAAAAAGTTTACTCTTTCATGCTAACTTGGACAGATAGGCATGGAGTAGCTCTATGATGAGGATTTGGAGGCCACCATTGAGTCAGAGGCCACAGTGTGCTGTGATCAGTTAATGATGTCTGCCAAGGCACAAAATGGGTGAAACAGTGTTCTAAATGCCACTTATTTTCCAGCTGTAGCATAGACTTAAGTAGAAGAAAATGATTGGTCTCTAAGAAGGCCAGACTAAGGGGCTCTGGCGCTCTACCTCTCCTTACTACTAGTCAGTTTTTCCACTGACAAAGATATTACTAGTCAATCTCAATTTTTTCCTTCATACCCGTGATTAATTTAGTTCCATGTTCTTCCTGCTCCCTTAGTTCCTTCGGCTTCTTCTCTCTGTATTAATATGTGTGTGTGCACACATATGCACACACAGTGCTCGTTAGTGACTGTTGGATAGAGAACAGAGAGGAAATGTGAAACCTACTTGGAAAGTGAGGAGGCGGGTCACCTACCTTCTGCCTTGTTGTCATCCACCAGTGGACAGGCGGTCCTCAGGGTCACTGTGCTCAGCTCAGAGTGCCTCCCCCGTGTATCCACAGCATAGAGAGTGAACCTATATCACAGCAAGCAAAGAGAGTACAAGGCTCAGACTTAACAGAAGGCACCAGAAGTTAAAGGAAGGAGCACAAAGTCATGGTACAGGACCAGTGGTACAAAGAACTCAGGGATGCTTACACTGCAAGGAAATGATTTTTTTTAAAAAAAGAAGGATAATATAAAACATTGATTGAGCATTGAATGCCTGCTGGGCACTTGGCACGTAGTCTCCTAATTTGCAATTAAGCAAGCCTGAAAGGCAGAGAATTATTGTCACTCAAATTATATCAAGGAGGATACTGTGTAGCTTTCTGTGTTCTCATAGTCACTGGGGGACGGAATAGGGGTTTAAACTCAAGCAGACTGAGTCTAGGACGTGAGAAGTCAGCCCCAGTGCGGCCCTCTTGGCTCTACAAGCACATTCATATGTTCTTTCATTCACTATGAATGAATTAGTTTAGGTGCTAAGGTTATGAAGGTGAACAAGGGAGTTAAATTTCCTACTTGCTGAAGACTAATCAACACATAAACAAAAAAAAATCAGATAATGATAAATATGATAGAGAACAATACAGAATAATGTGAAAAAGTGGAATGCATGTAATGCATTAGACATGTAATTCATGAAGGCCTTCTAGAAGAGGGAAAGTTAGAGCTGATGACTGAATACTGAGAAAGAATCAGCTTATGGGAGAAAGACCTGGCAGAAGATCATGTCGTGCAGGAAGATCAATAAGTGCAAAGGCCCTGAGGAGAGGAGGAGCCCAGACTGTTGAAGGAATAGATAGCTGGAGTGGATAGAGCAAAGGGAGGGCAGGTGGAAGGTCAGTGGGGACCTTGTATGTCATGAGAGGGAGCTGGGAGCTATTCTAGGTATAAAGCGTGTCCTTGTGAAGTCATCTGATGCCACATGCTGTGTTGGTGGTAGTGGACATAACCTGTGCAGCCTTAGAAGGGGGAAATGGTAAATGCATACCTGGTGGATTCAGGTCTAATCAAGAGCACAGAATTTTTTTTTAAATCAGTCTCTGTCTACCTCAAGGGACACTCTGTGACTTTTCATATCTCCAGACTCTGAGTTCTATGGTTTATACAAAGTTTAAGGAGGGAGCAGAGACTTTCCAGAGGAGGTAAGGTTTGGAGGAAAGGAAGTTGGAATAGAAGTATCCTCCATCCAATTGGCCTGTTCTTGTCATGGGATCCTTTGTTGCCAACTTTCAAGGTCAAGGGTAGAGTCAGTGATGTCCAGTGGGTAGAGGACTCCCTATATTAAGCAGAAGACCCTAAACTCCTAGCGTTCCTATGTTTTTGCCTCTTTCTTTAGTACCTCAACTAACTCATGCTATACAATGGATATATCACTACAATAGCCAAGTTTTAGAATGAGAGAGCACTGATTGTAGATATTAGGCACATAATAACATTGAGTTTGTTATATAAAGTAATTAACATGTGCTAAGATTTTAATACGCATTAAGCATTATCTAAATAGTCTTACCTACTTCCCTCAAGAAATCCTTCAAGATGGGCATTATTACTCTCTTTATTTCATACCCGAGTCTCTGAGAGGGAAAGCAGCTTGCCCAGAGTCACACAGTAATTCCTGGACTGGCCATTTAAACCTAGGCTTGACTGACTCCAATGCTCAGGCATCACACCACTGCCAGATACTTGTTTCTGGCCACAGGTCTGTAGCCCTCAGCTTTGTGCAGATATAATTTCTTCAGCTACACTTGCTAAATCCCACTACATGGAGTAGTGCCCCCTCAAGAAATTTCCTGATCTTATGAAAGCATGCTAAAATAATCATCCTCATTATTTCCACCTTTCAGAAGAAGAGACTGAAAATAAAAGCCAAGCAATTTTTCCAAAGTCATAGATTTAGAAAAAGAACATGTCAAGCCTAAGCTCTGTATTACTCTAAAACTTGCACTTCTCACTTTCTGCCACCATTTCTGCTGTCAATGGTTTCGAGAGCCTGGGCCCATGTAGCTTCAATGCCCCTTAACTTCATGCCTCAAAGGTTGTTTTTATAAAAGATTCCATGAATCAAAACTTGAAAAGGAACAGAAGTGTGACAGAGGAAGGAGCCTGGTCTTGGAGATAGTCATGCTTGGGTTCATATTCCAGTTCTACTCCCTTACTCTGTGACCTTGGGGAAGTCACTTCACCTTTCTAAGCTCACTTCACCTCTCTGTACTGGACATCTGTGATAGGCAGACTGGGATGCACCTCGCCAGTTTGGGGTGGATGGATATGAAAAGTGAGCCTTTTCTGAAGTGAGTTATCATTGGTAAGCCATACAGAAGCATTGGTAATAGGACCACAAAGAAACTCAAAGAGATATGAAAACAGGCAAGTGGCAAAGTGAGGAGGTAAGAAGAGCACTGAGGAACATTGGGAAAGCACTTACCATCCACACACCAACTCATCTAGAAAGTTGCAGAGGCAGGATCCAAACCCTAGCCTGCATGCCCAGGGGTACTCCTCAGTCTGAGTATAGCTATTTCCCTCATTCCATTAGGTATGTGATAGGCAATCAGTAAAGATTCATGTGAACAAATGAACTTGAGTGCACTGCATCTCATTTTTCAACTTGTTTCTCCATCAATCGAACGGGGAACATCTGACAGACAGTGCATGGCTGTCTCAAGGATTACACAAGCAAGGCATGAGGACAAGGTCGTAATGCCCAATTCTTACACTCCTCACTTTCATGGATGATTGTAATGCACCAATTGAAAAAGTAAATAGAAGGAAGGGCAGCAGAGGAAAGGAATCAGGGGGATGGGGAGGGAACGAGGAAGTACTGAGGACTGAAATATGCATTTCTGGATATGTCACACATACACTATTATGTGTAATGGCAATGCACTAATAAAAATATAAAAAATAAAGATCACACAATTTGTACAAGAATATATGTTTAAAAAAAAGTTTCATTAGAATCTGAAGAGAAAGAGATGCATTTCAAGGAACACATGGAAGGTTTGTAGTGAGTGAAATAAACAAATGGAGCCTTCAGGTGGAAGGCTTGAAATAATGTTTAACAGGGCTTTCCCTTTGGCCACTTATGTTTCTGGGGGTGCTTCTGCAATACATTTCCTCCACCAGAGGAACAGGGTCAACTCTCTGCTTCACGGGCAGCACAAATGGCAGCCTGCTGGTGCTAGAAGTAGTCTTATGTTTTATAAGTTATAAAACCTGGGTATAATTCCTGTTTCCTCCCATTGCAGGCTGAGCATTCTTTGGGAAGTCACTTCACTTTCTCTGAGGCTGAGTCTCCTTACCTGTAAAATAGGTTGAAAGTATTCATATCTCACAAGTTGAGGATCAAGACTCAACGAGAGAGTCATCATCATAATAGGCCTGGTTCACTCTTTGTTCCTTAAAAAGTAGCTTCTAATTTTGTTACTGAAATAATCAAACATGTCAGTGGAAGCCTCAGGATGCAGGAGGCCACAGGCTGCCCTGCTTGGGGTGGGGGGCCAGCCGAAGAGGAAGATGTCAACCTCACAAGCTTGGGTCAAAAGTCACAAGGCCATACGCTTTCTGCCTGTCTCAGCTGTAATTGTAGAACTGCTCCAGACACATCTGAAAGCTGTTAGAGGACCAGGCTGGGCCTGGAGGGGCTCTCTGTGAGGGGGAGAAAGCTGTAGTCCTTGATAATGAAGAAGTGGCTGGGAGAGACAGATACAGAGGAGGGAGGGAGGGAGAGGGAGAGGGAGAGGGAGGGGGAGGGGGAGAGAGGGAGAGAGAGAGAGAGATCATTGTGTTGCCCAGGGCATCAGGAAGGGTGTTGGCTACCTCTGTGAAGCATCCTCTCTGTGAGGCAGTGATAATGTGAACTAACACTCCTGAGTCATCAGCTAACTTTGAATCCTCATTTCAGGAGTGGAAAAAGCAAGGCCCAGAAGGGAAGGTGACCTGTACAGAGAGCCACTGCCAGTAAATTCAGAGGGAAGACACCAGCCTGCCTGGTCCCTCCTCCCGTGTTCCTGAACACGCTGCTATCATGCTTCTTGTGCAGCTGGTGACCTAGGTCCACATCTACTTACGGGAAGCTTTTATTATAAAAGAGGTGGCTCAAAGGGTCAAGTTGAATGGATGTTTTAGGAACATGAACCTCAAGGCCCAACCCATTACTATTCTTCACCTAACCTTGTTGCAGAGGAAAGAACACTGGCCTCAGAGGCTGAGAGCCTGAGTGTGAGCCCAGAGTCGGTGGAGTGAGATCTTAAGTACCTAAAGTAATATGGTCTTAAAACACTGAGAAACATAAAGGAGCAGGCAAATAAACAAAACACCGTGTGGGAAAGCCTTGGAATGGCCTCTCCAATGCATTTTCAGGGTGTCTTCATCCTCATTAGGACTTTGCCATCCCTCACCATCTCCAGGACAAAGTCTATCATTCTCAAGAGAAACTCCTAACTCAGAGCCCCCATTACAGCTCCTGGATGTCCATCCATTCAACATATTCTTGAGCCCCAAATAATCTCTAGCTACAGGTCCAGGCTTGTTTGTCCATCTTTGCTCCCTGCTGTGTCCTTGTAGGATGCATCCAATAGCCAAGACTCCAGACACAACTCCTACCTCTGCCTTGGCACAGGCTGCACCTGTTGTGTGGGCTGCTCTTTCCCTTCCTCAGTTGACCCCTCCACCTTGTCCCTGAAGCATCTTCAGACCTCATCTTCTTTGGGAAGCCTGTTTGGGCCCCTCTGAAGAGCTGCTTAACCTTTCTCTTTCACAAGCTTCACCTACCATGTGGCTAGGTGAGTGCCCATTTGCTTCTCTCTTGCTCCTCTGAGTCTGTGAGTGTCTACAGGACCAGAAGATGGCTCTGCCCATCTCTAACACCTACGCCAGGTGTACCAATGCTAAGCCAATACCAGCCAGAGTGAGTGACAGACTGAATGGATAACACAATTGGTTTGGCAGTTTCATTTCCCTTTTCTGGAAATCAGATTTCTCATCTGTAAAATGAACCCAGGGTGATTACATTGAAGGGTTATCAGAGGGAAGGGGAATAGCAGAAAGGCTAAAGGCCTGACTCTGGAATCATATAATTTGGTTTTAAATTTTGCTCCCCCAGTTTTTGGCTGCGTGGAGCTCTGTCTCACTTTACACACCTGTAACTGGGGATAACAATATGACAACCTACCAGGCAGGGTAGTTGTTGGAATGAAAGGAGACGTGGCATAGAAGTGTTCAGCATGATGTCTGGCAATCAGTGAGCCACAGCCATGGGCATTATGATCATGTGCTGCCCTAGACACTGACTTCTCCCCCACTTGGAGCAAGTGGCCCTACTAGAGATCAGGGAGAGTGGGTGGAAAGGGACCATTGCTGGTCCCATTCAAGACCCCCAGACCTCCTCGCAGCAGGGGTGAGAAAATGAAACTGAGAAGTTAATTGGCGGTGAGAGCTTCTCACAGATCTGACAGGGGGTAAGAACAAGGACAGAACCCCAGAGGCCCACGTCAAGCCCAGGTCCCCGAGAGTACAGCAGAATGCGTTTGAAGTCTCCAGGCCAACGCCTGCTCTTCCCCAGCCGCCACATGATTTAGGCATTCTGGGGAGGCAAAAGTCTCCTCGCTGATTTGAAGGGAAACAGATGTTTCCAGGCCAGAGGCCCTGGTCTTGTAAAATGCTCCTTCCCCCCACACAGCTTTGGCAAACAACTTCCCATTAGCTCACCCCTCCACCTCCACCACCATCACTCCCATCCCTGCTTTCCTAAAGCACAATGCAGCAGTCAGGGGTGGTGGGAGAATTGAGAAGTCCCAGTGCCAGCTCTGGGTCTGAGCAGCTGGATGTCCAGGGACATCTAACTAACCGTCCTTCTCTGAGTCTCTGACCCAAGATCACCTCTGAGGAATAGGTTAGTTCTTATAGTCTAGGGGTATTCTCCATTGGAGACTGTGGCAAAGAGTATGGGCTTGCAAACCAGACAGCTCTGGGTTTTAGTCTGGGCTGTACCAGCTACTGCACAAGTAACAACTTAGCCACCGAGCCTCAGTTTCTGTATCTAAAATAGGAGGACAAAAGTTTCATCCCGTGGGAATCAATTTCTCCACTTGTATTTAAGCTTCTTGTAAACAAAATTGAGTAGCATCCCTTTTACCTGGTACTACCCACAGTGCCCAGACAGTGTGCATCCAGATTTAAGGGAGCAGGAATATCTACAATCGGCCATTGGTAGGAAAACTGCTAGACACCCTGTACTCCAAAGGCTCAGGTCTCCATTTCAGCTCTACCCAAGTCGTGGAAAGAGTATTCAGATTTTCATGACATAAGAGGCAGGGCTCACCGGGCCTTCAGGGCTTGCCACCCACTCCAAAACCTGATTACCCGAATTAAAATGTTGGTTCCATAACCTATTGTCTTTATAACCCCAGGCAAGTGAATTCACCTCTGGGTTCTTGTCCTTAAAGTGTGCATGATAGTATTACCTATCTCAAAGGGATGCTAGAGGCATAACATACTTAACACGGTGCTGGCATGTGGTAGGTGCTAAGTAAGTGTTAACTATGATTCAATGTGTGTATGGTTAAGTTATTCATCTCTCCTATAATGGATTTAACTCCCCCTAATTTTTTGATATTTCACCTTGAATGGGGAGTGAGCTCATGAGTGCTTTGACGAACTGAAACACAGTGAAAGAGATACTCTGTCACTTCCAAGTCTGGGTCTTACAAAGCAAGGCAGCTAGCTTCTACCTCGCTTGCTGAAAATTTCTGGCTCTGAATCCTGAGCCTCCGATAAGAAACCCGGGTACTCTGGGGTTGCTGTGGTGTGAGGAAGCCAAGCCACGTGGAGAGGTCATGTGTAGGAGCTCCAGCAGGTCTGGTGCTGAGGCTCCTGACAGATTAATGCAGGAGACTTCAAATAGTTTCAACCCAAGGAGTTGAGTCACCACAGGTTTGAGTGCTTGCAGCTGAGGCTGCACACTTCAAGGAGCAAATGTAGTCCAACCTGCTGTGTCCAGTTTGAATTTTTGAAACACAGAATCCATAAGGAGAACAAAATTTGTTTGAAGCTGCTAAGTTTTGGGGTCATTTGCTATGTCATCAATAGTAACTGTAACAACTTCCAAGCATCCAGAGCAGGGTCAGCAAACCACAGCTCATGGGCCAAACCTGGCCTGCGGCCTGCTTTTGTAAATAAAGTTTAATGGAAAACAGCCACGCTTCCTTTTTGTTTGTTTTTAATGTATTTTCTGTGGCTGCTTTCACACTAAAGAGACTGTGACAGAGACCATGAGGTCCACAAAGCCTAACGTACTTATTTTCTGGTCCTCTGGAGGAAATTGTGCAGACCTTGATGTAGAGTTTTGGCAGTATTTGAGGCATTAGCTCTTTCTCACAATATTTCATTTGCTCTCAGGGTTAGAAATCATTTCCATCCTATAGATAGGCTTAAGAGCTCAGGTGACTGGTCCAAGGTCATAGCTCTTCCATGGTCACCTGGTCAGATGTCATAACTGCCTGCTGAAAATCTAGACTCCAGTTTGGGTGCTGACATTGAATGATGAGCAGTGTCCTTGGGCAGGTCCTACTGAGCTCTTTTCTCCCTTTTCTGGCCTGGGACATGAGGACACTGGCCCAAGGTGACCTGTAGTGGCTGCCAGAACTCAGATATCCAGGTTCCTTCATTGGGTGCTGACTACCAGGCAAGATATCTGTTTCCTTTAGTTCAGGAATATCAAAAGGAGCCTTGGGAATGAGTGAGCAAGGGATACTACAGGTTACTGCTCTGATCTACAACTTGTAGATCACTCACCCCCTAGCATCCCAAATTCACCTTCCTACCTGCCAACTTAGGCTGACAACCCATGATTTCTGCCAACATAAATATTTAATTCTAGTGCCCAGCATAGAGATATTGACTCATTTCTAGTTACATTTCTACTCCAAACAGCCCATCTGAAGAATGATTGGTAGGCTCCGGCCAGGACAGAGTTGAGGCAGTCTGTGGTTGTCCTCTAAGCAACAGCTTGCCCCAGTGGCATGCCCTTCAACCCCTCCAGGGTCATGAGCTGGCAGGGAAGTGGGGAGCTGGCAGGGAGAGTTCTGGGGGAAAGCCAAATCTGGAGACCAATGTTAGTGCTGAGCTCAGACAGAGGTGACAGCAATCTACAATCAATTCAACGATCACCGCTTTACTAGCCCTAAACTCACTGCCATTTGCACAACTTCCTAAAATTCACAGTGCCATGAACACTCCAACTCTAAAATCATTTCAGTATCGCCATGTAAAATTAAATAGACATAAATTAATTTACAACTCATTCATGTTGAACGAACGTGTTTCTAGTACCTGATTGAAGAGTGAATGAATATTTATTCCAGCACCTCCCATGTGTGTGCCTCACCACGAATAAAATATCTCCTGAGCCAGACACTCTACTGAGCAGTGGAGTATAAAAATAAAAGAGTTCTTGCTTTCATGGACTCCCAGGACTGCAGACGATGGGCAGATGGATAAGAAATGGGATGCAGTAGCACAAACGTTTTCAATAAAAATGCACTTGAGGCTCTGTGTTTGCTTTAGATATTTCCCTTCTTCCTTCTTCC